TAACCGAACAAAGCTATTGACGTGCTGCTTAGTGCTGTGGGCAGATGGGGAACTTTGGCCCCAGGACTGCTAGTCTAGCACCTTTTGGGACCAGTGTGCTCACCTGATCTCTAGTCTGTTAGGTGCACCCTACATGCTTATATTGTAGCTCCTTAAAGACATTTATTCGTAATTCCCAGCTGTCAGACGGGGTCGTTATCAGCAGTCTCCGCTCATTAGAGTGACATGAATGGAAAGTCAGGAGGATCCCTGGCTGCCATTTGTGGTGGTTGTGGAGGGATACCTGGGGAGAGCATGCAGAATGCCCATATGCCAGATGCGCCAGTCAGGAACGCTAAAATAGACTCTGGATACGAGCACACAAGCCTTCCTCCCAGCCAGGGCAGTTAGTCTGTGAAGAGGATGTGCCTTGAGATGGAAGTGCTGGGCAGCTGCCCTCATGACTGCCTGAGGATCTGGGGAGCCTGAGGCATTTGGCCAGGATTTTATACTAGCTGCAGAGACCAAAATTCAGCTTCACAGAGAGGGCGATAGGTAACCGTTACCAGCAAATCTTACCTGCATAGGGCAACTTGACTCTTGTCTGTCACCTAAGCAGTGGGACAGAGATAGTAACCATCAGAAAACCAGGTGGAGAATTAGACAAGAGACTTTTAAGATATGTCATTTTCTTTTTTTTCTTTTTACTTTTGTAAATGTCACAAACCTGATTCATCCAATTCCTCCTGTTTTCCCTGTAGTGTCTCTTAAATACCACGGTGAGGGCACGCTGCGGAACAAGAAGAGGTCAGGTTTAACTCAGCATGTGCTATTTCTCTCTCGAGTGCTCCTGAGAACCGGAGGGCACATCTGCAGTTTGTATTTCTTTCAGGCTTCGAGTAACATGGGCCGTTTGCTTTAGCCATTGCAGGGCCCCGTCACCTCTTCCTAGCAGGTCAGGTTTGGCTGCAGTCCTGACAGAAGAACTTGCTCCTGCTTCTCTTTGGCAGATGAAGACTGGGTTTGAGGAAAATGATTAGGACATGAAATATTCATAAATCAACAGAGGCAAAAATAATCCATTCCCGGTTATTGTATTCAATTGTTTTTCCCTCTCTGTCTCGTTTTACAGTCGTGCCAAGCTGACCTTGTGAAGGACAACGGTCACAAATATTTCCTTTCGGTCTTGGCAGATCCCTACATGCCAGTAAGGACAAATCATCGTTTTCAGACTCGTTTACATTTGCTTAGTCTGTCTTGCCTTATGTGCTGCTGTTGTGATGTGGTTGGTGCTCTTGGCCGAGATGGCTTCTCTAGTGACACCCTCTGCCTTACCACGGAGCAGCACCGAGGGCCGCATAGTTGGCCGCAGGGAAAATTGAAATCAGTAAAACGGGGTCCCATGGGAGACACTTTGCAGTTGGACAAGTTTGCAAAAGTCAGTGGGTCTTTAGTCCTTTTTATTGCAGGCTAATCTTTTAAACAGAGATTATTTTATTTTACTCAATGTTTATTTAATCTGAACTGAAGTGGCAGCTGCAGGTGCCTTGATAAATGGATTGAAAAGCTATCTAATTTCACTGTAACTTCTTTACCTGCCTCTGACAAAACACTATTTTGTAGCTTTCCGCCGTAGATATTCCTATGTCCCCACCAGAAACAGTACACTGGGGACTATTTTCTCCTGGTTTCTCCACTGATAAAAGTACACAGCTGTCATTAGCATTAAGTAAATAGGCCACTGGATTTTCTGCACAAAAGCTGTAGAAATCGTGAATTTGAATGAAAAATACAGTGGCGTACAAAATAGTTTCCAGTCATCCAAGCCAGAGTGAAATGCAATGGAATCACACAAAACATTGCTCTTATCATTGCCCTGCTTAGCCTTAAAGAAATAAAGAGAGAGAAAAGTAAAATAATACAACATGAAGTGGCTTTCCTGCCAGCCAGAGGACATAAGTAAACCAGGCAATTCAGAGCTTCAGCTAACCACACGTGAGTGGGCAGGCACTTTCTGAACAGTGTTTTGGGGGGTATTTTTTTGCATATGCCTATCTTATTTATGTTTGAGATTTTTGGCACTGTGTATTTTAATAATAATAAAACCCCCAACCCAAGCATACACAGTTTAACTGTTTTTAAAGCCCTGAACATTTAATAGAATCATAGACAATGAGGGTTGGAAGGGAGCTCAGGAGGTC